GAGGGGCAGTGCAGGGCATTTTAGAATATGAACTTTACAGTCTTGCAGGTTTGCAGGGGTCCTCTCTATGATACCATTTCCTGTTTTCTGCATGTCAGCCATACCACACGCCTTTGTTTTGTTGGACAAAAGTTTTTCAAATATTAATAATATGTAAAAAAAAAAGATTAAATATTAAAATACATTAAATTAAATAATATGAAAAAGTACAAAACTTGTACTGTTGTTTCCCCTAAGAAATGATAGGGGAAATTATAACCATGCAATAATGAATTATTTTAGTTAGTTTTTTTTTTTAATCCTCATTAGAATATCAGGACATTTGCATCACATTTTTGACTTTAAAATAATCAAAAATATTAATTTATTTTAATTCAGGAACTAAAAACATGCTCATTGGAAGGGCTGTATTCAAGTAATTGTTTGTATGAATTGCATTTTTAATGTATTTTAATGAAGTTTTTAATAAATTAATAGATATAGGATTAAAAAAATTAAGCCACATTGGCCATGCAACCCTATTCATAAGTTGGGTTGATCAAAAATACAGTAGAATACAGTAATATAGTTAAATATGATTACATTTCAAGTAAAGTTTTTTTTATTGTAACATTTTTAAAACAATTTTAATAAAAAAAAGATTTGTGTGATGGCAAAGCTAAATTTTCAGCATCATTAGTGTCAAATCCTTCAGAAATCATTCTAATATGCTGATTTCCTGCTTTTTATCATTATCAATGTTGAAAATAGTTGTGGTGCTTAATATATATATTTTTTGAAACCATGATACATTTTCTACAGTATTTCAGAATTCTTTGATAAATAGACATTTCAAATGAACAGCATTCATTTGTACTGTTATAAATGTCTCCTTTGATCAATTTATTGCATCCTGAATAAAAAAAAAAAATATATTTTTTATTTTAAGTCACACAGAACGGTAGTGTATGTAGTAGTACACATTCACGGCTGTGTGGTTTGTTGAATAATTTCCTTTTCTGGTCATCTGGGATGAGTGCAGCAAAAGGTGGGGGTTTCTTTTCGGATGATGTTCCTCTTTGCCCCCTGACACTGTTGTGATTAAGGATTAGACCTGTGAGGGTCTTCAGCCATTTCTCCCCTTTCCCTAAACAATCACCCCTTGCTTGCCCCCCACCTCCTTCTTTTACCACTCCTACATTCCCCTGGGGGTCGGGGGAGGCTTTTTAGCCTAAGAACTTTTTACTCATTATGTTCTAAAGTCTTCTGCTCAATCAGTGGAGCAGGAGGGAAACACCCCCCACCCACACATCCACCCACTAACCCACCCCAAAGCCCCCTCTTCCCTAACCACGCACCCTGCCTGACAACAACATCGCAGCAAACATTGAAGCCCCTTAATGCTTCTTCCAAGTACCCAAAACAAACTGACCAGATGTCTGTTTATCACACACTAATGACCCGAAGACAACAGCTTTAGTGTTCTAGACCACCAGGTATTTCGTTTTCAAATCATTTGTGCCTCTAATGAGTAGCGAGGACTTCTGAAGTTTGACTTTTCCCATTCTCTACTATTTATTCCTCCGTAACGCCCACCGAACCATTACATCACTCTCCATCTAAAGCACTTGTTGTTTTTCCTTATTAGAATGGTAATGAGGCCTCCGGTTCCTTGACCTCCTCATAAGAGTAAGTTTCTAATTATAAGCTGTAGTCTTGCAGGAACTTTAACAATAGGTATTAGACAAAGTAGCCGTTTTGTTTGGTTGTGAGGTTAAGTTACAGCCGCATGGATGGAAATTAGACTTAAGTCAGCAGGTTCACAAGAGCCCTTGTGTCTCAACAAGCCCTTCATAAGATGACATATTGGTTTATTGGAACCTCCTCCTGCTTTTTATTAACAAAGGGGGGGGAATCTTATTAGTGCGTCTCGACATGATGAGAGAGTAAAGTTACAGTCACTAACAAGCTACCTCAAAATCTAGAGAGGAGACACTATGAAATTAAAGTTAGTTTTGAAAGTGGAATGGTTTTTATGGATTTCTGTGCACATTGTTTTAATAACTCTTGAAAATAAAGTTTTTTTAATACACATAGAACCTTTCTATTCCACAAAATAATTCTTTAGAAGAATTTTGTTGCTCACAGTCAGGGGAAAAAAAGTTATTTTAAGAACTGATCACTGAAAGGTTATTTGGGGAACCAAAAATGGTTCTTCTATGGCACGGCTGTGGAAACCACCTTTTGGAACTTTTACTTTTAAGAGTGTAATTGATAAACATCATGAGCCGTGGTAACCATATAGACCTTAGTCAGGTTACGCTACTATAAATAAAGCTTATTTTCTGACATAGATGGTTTCATGAAGAACCTTTAACATCCATGCTCTCTTGGAAATAAAGGTTAAAAAACTGGGTTTTTCACAGTAATGCCATTGAAGAACCATTTTTTTGATTCCTCAAAGAACCTTTCAGTCAGTCATCAGTTAATTTTCTTAGTGTGAAGAACATTTGATTAATCTAAAGAACCTTTTTCCACTAAAGAACTTCTTGTCCAATGGAAATATTTTATGGATCTTAAAGGCTCTCTTCCATTAATACCAATAAAGAACCTTTATTTTTAAGAATGTGGGAACTTTTCATTCCACAAAAGGTTCTTTATATTTTTCTAAGTGTTGGGCTGATAATCATCATGAGCCTTGGTAACCACACTCTTAAAAATAAAGGTGCTTCACGATGCCATAGAAGAACCTTTTTGTCTAAATGGTTCCATAAAGAACCTTTAACATCTGAAGAACCTTTCTGTTTCACAGAAGGTTCTTTGTGGCGAAAGAAGGTTCTTCAGATTATAAAAAGCTAAGAAAGAAATGGTTCCTTAAAGAACCTTTGCCTGAATGGTTCTTTGTGGAACCAAAAATGGTTCTTCTATGGCATCGCTTGAAGAACCGTTTGAAGCACCTTTATTTTTAAGAGTGCATAGACGTTAGTCAGGTTAGATGTCAAATTGAATTTTAGGATGAAAATAAGGCTATGAGGGATAGACTTACAATATTTACAGTGGCATGCATGTATAATGGTCCTAGATCATGTAATTTTCATCAAATCAGTTTTTGCCTACTGAACTTTTTCAGAAAGACTCTCATCAGCTGAAGAAGAACGTACTGTACTTCAATCCCTCACAGCCTCATTTTCATGTCAGAAATTAAATATGGCACTACCCTGACTAAAGATCTATTGATGAAGACCCCATGCAAAGTTCCCTTATGCATGTCCCAAAAAACTACTATAAAGTGTAGGTCCAACAAAGTCACTCTTTGGATTCATGGTATAATTGCTAAACAAAAACTACAGAGAATCTACCTTAGTTGTTAAAAGTGCCGGGACCCGCAGGTCTTCATACACCACACAGAGCCAGTCCCGTCTCCTCTCACAGTTGGGTCAGCTGATCAGTATGTCTGTGGTCACCAGGAAAAGGCATATAAAATTACTTTTATGTCAACCTCTTCACCAGTGGGTGACACTTTCAACACCTTCGCTAGGTTGTATCAAAGCACCTCAGAGGGTCGTCGTCTCCAGGTCTGACAGCAACAGGGTGGCGTGATCGAACCCTGAGATGTTATAACACAGTGACATTCACAGTAGCCTCAAACAATGTTTTGTTAAACTAATTGCATCGAGTGAGACTCAATGCATAGTGAAATAAAGTGTATATTATAGTACCGGCAAAACGTTTGGAATAATTATGATTTAAGTCTCTTATGTTCACCAATACTGTATTATTTGAAATACAGTAAAAACTGTAGTATTGTGAAATATTATTACAATTTAAAATAACTGCTTTCTGTTTTAATATATATATATATATAAAAAATTATTTGTGATGGCAAATCTGAATTTTCAGCATCATTCCTCTAGTCTTCAGTGTCACATGATCCTTCAGAAATCATAATGATATGTCGATGCTCAGTAATAATGATAATAATGGATCTTAGTATTATCAGTGTTGAACAGTTGTTGCTGTTTTGATGATAGTAGAATTTGATCAGGATTCTTTGATGAATAGAACGTCGACGATAACAGCGTTTATTTGAATCTGAAATCTTCTGTGACCTTATAAATGCCTTTACTGTCCCTTTTGATCAATTCAACGCTCCCTTGTTGAATACAATTCTATTAATCAATTCCATTAATTTGATTATTAATAGAATTAATAATAAAACATTAATTTCTTTCTTCTTTCTAAAACCTGGGGAAAAAAACTGTTTTCAACATTGATAATAATAGAACAAGTTTCTTGAGCAGCAAATCAGCATATGAAATAATTTCTGAAGGATCTTGTGACGCCGCGTAATGACACTGCAAACACAGCAATTATCACCACAGGAATAAATTGCATTTGAAAATAGCCTATAATAAAACAGAAGACAGTTATTTTAAACTGTAATAATATTTCACCTTATTACTGTCTCTGTAGTTTTGATCAAATAAATTAAGCCTTGGTAGGCATAAAAGTCTTATTTCAGAAACATCAACAAATCTTAATCATCCTTCATATAGCTAGTTATCATATATTTAAAAAATATTAAAGTGTCAAATATGTCTATAGTCTGAGTTTACACAAGGCAAGGTTTTGTGACATGTTCTAATAACAGGTTCACTTTTTTTTTTTTACCAGCAACTACTAAATTTGATAACATTGGAACTGTATGATAAAACTACAGAAAACATGCATTTCTTTGGAGTTCTGACTCGAAGCATATGTATTTAGGTCTACTGTGATATGGCCTTTCTGACTAGTTTCCCATATATAATGATTATTACATAATCTCCCCAATACAGTTCTGATGTAAGATACATGTACATAGGCCTATAATATTTGTGTGCTATAGGCTATATATGATAGCAGGTGTAAACCAACACAAACAACTCCGCGCGCTTTGGACAGTTCAGTGTGGAGTGGGCGGAGCTAGGAGAACGCGGAGGTGTGGTCGCCGGACAGCAGTCTTAAAAACACGTGTTGAGCCGAAAAGCGAAGCGTGGAGTTCAGAAAAACTACGAGGGAGTTGTGTGGGATCACGGAAGAATCGCCAAATAAAGTCTTCGTCACGCAGGACTATGCCATCCTACGCACTCAATCAGTTTATTGATCTGGATGATGTCCTGTGCAAGGTATATTTAGCGTTACATGAGTTTAAAACTACAGCGTGGTTGTTTTGAGACGGGTCACGTAGCATAAATCATGTTTTTAGGGGCGATTTTTTTTCAATGCATTTGCATGCATTCTGCAGGAAACGTATAATGCCTGATGCAAACGATTTCTTGTAAGGTTGACGATAGCTGGTCGAATCGATTAAATGAAATTCAGCTTGCTAGAAACGTCCCAACCAGGGAGGGAACGTGGGCCACGAGTGAGCGCCTTTTTATTGCGATCAGCCATTATCGTTATGTTGTGCTAGTTTTGCATGTATGAAGCTTGAACAGGACCGCATGCAAGCACCATTGCTTGTGGCATTGTTGAGCTTTAGAGCGCAAATATTAGAGCTTCGTTTGATTTTTGAACGTAAACAAGTTGAGTGCCCGGAGTTGTAAAAAAAAAAAAACTTACCGCTGCAAAGTTTTTTCCGAATTATTTTTTTCGCGTTAATGTGAATGGGAAGTAAACGGGAACTGATGTTTCAGATTTGAAATCGCGGTGTTTTTCTGGCTGCGTTAAATTATATTAGCGAATGGATGTGTTCGACTCGTACACGAATCGTTCAAATGAGTCGGTTCACTGAAACTTGTTGAAAACAACTGAAACTTGGTTGCAAAAACTGAACTGGTGCGCATGATTCATCTATATATAAACATATTAAACCTACGACAAAATGTGTATGAATCGGTTTTTATTGGAGTGTTAGGAACCACGCGAATCGTTTTTGAACCGGTTCTTTTGAAAGAACAGATTTGCAAAAATGATTCGGACTCCCTTGCTTCCACTTACTGAATTTGCAGGGATAGCATACTTGCTGCTTTGAATAAAACTGCCAGACTTTGTCATCTGCTTGGAGATGTCTAACCCTTTTGTTCTTTTCCTTACAGCACCTTTTAAATCTTGACCTTCGAGAGCCAATGCAACCCTCACACACCGCTGCTGTTGGATATAGGAAGCCTGACAGTCCCTGCACACTTTCCTCCACCAGTTCAGGACTTTCTATTGACAGCATTGAGAGTGGAACCATGAACTCAAGCCACTGGGCCCCCCAGAAAGTATCGTCTCGGTCAAAGTGGAGCAAGATGTCCTTTTGGTCCGAGCGCTCTGTTAGCATGGTGGAGGGCAACACTGGAAGTCTGGGTTGGTCTTCTGCTGAACCCGGCCATTTAAAGCAGTCTTCTGTCACGTCAGGTGCCGTTTCCCTCTCCGGCTCAACGTCTCCGTTCTCTGCGGCCTCATCGCGCTACAAGACCGAGCTGTGCCGCACGTTCGCCGAAAGAGGCGTGTGCAAGTACGGCGGCAAGTGTCAATTTGCGCACGGCCCTGAAGAACTACAAGACCTCAGCCGTCACCCGAAATACAAGACTGAACCCTGCCGCACTTTCCACTCCATTGGCTTCTGCCCCTACGGCATCCGCTGCCATTTCGTGCACAATGCCGAAGACGATCACATGCAATCCCTACCCCAGACCTGCAACCCGACTGTCCAACGGCCTCCCCTCCTCAAGCAGAGTTTCAGCTTCGCCGGGTTTCCCACAACTCCCCAACCTCTAGAAGCCCCCCTAGCGCCTTCCTCGTTCCTGTGCGCACCTTCTGTTTCGACTCCGACGTCGACCGTCATGTCTGACCTTCTCTCCCTGGCCTTTCCCGATATAGACCCCAACACCCTTCTGGACCAGGCCCGAGAGTTGCACCCTCAATTTCTGCCGTCTCCTGACTCTGGCTACTCAGGACTGACTCCCACTTTGTCGCCCACCCAGCTCGCTCCTTCCCAGCCCGAGGTCTGCTTGCGACAGAGTCCCACTGGCGGGCCTTCCCTAGGCCTCCGAAGTCTATCCCACACCTCTCTCTCAGACCACGAGGGTGGCAGCTGCTCTTCATCCAGCAGTATGAGCGGCTCGGAGTCCTCCTTTGGACCCGAAGCCAGCGGGCGCAGGCTTCCCATCTTCAGCCAGCTTTCGGTACCCGATGACAGCGTCTACAACGAAGGCAGCAACTCCGGCACAAGCTTCTTCCTGTAGACTTGTCGCTCCTCACGGGGACTGAACTGTATACTGTGGTATACCTACTGTATTATGTGGCCGATACTTGACATTTTAGTTAAGCTCGGAGTGAAACCTACTGTTTGAAGGTACTGGATGTTGAAAGTGTTCTTTAAGTGGGGTTTCATGTACTTTTAAGTGGAGCGATTCACCATGTTATATTGTTTTGATAATTGAAAAGACAAGTGGGGAAAAGAATTAACTTGAAAACCTGCAAAGT